AAATCACAGAAGACAAATGACTGGTCACCAGCCAGTTCAACGAAGAACAACTCGGGAATTGCAAATTAAAACAATCAGGTATAATTTCTTGCCTTTTTTTAGATTGACAATTTTTTTTTTTTTGGACAGAGTCTCTAATAAGAAAAAGAAAAAGAAGCTTCTTTCCAGCTTGGGCCTGGCAGAACGGCTCCCGCAAAGAAGGGTGGCAAGAAGAAGGGCCGTTCTGCCATCAAGGAGGCGGTGACTGGAGAATACACCATCAGCATTCACACTCACAAGTGCATCCATGGAGGGGGCTTCAAGAAGTGTGCCTCTGGAGCACTCAAAGAGATCCAGAAATTTGCCATGAAAGAGATGGGACTCCAGATGTGCACACTGATACCAGGCTCAACAAAGCTGTCCAGGCCAAAGGCATAAGGAACGTCTCCCATTCTCGTGTCTTTTAATTTTGTTTGTGCTTTTGTTTGTCATACCAAAGTAAAAAATTCCTTATGCCTTTGGCCTGGACAGCTTTGTTGAGCCTGGGACAGTTGTCCCAACCATAGCTATGTGCAGTTTTCCAGAAAAATAATGAAAATGAAGATTCACCAAACAAGCTCTATACTTTGGTTAGCTATGTACCTGTTACCACCTTCAAAAATCTATACTCAACATGGATGAGAACTAATTGGTGATTGTCAGACACATCAAATAAAGTTACAAAACCAAAAAAAAAAAAAAAAGAAATACAGTAAATGGAAAGACTCAATATTGTTTCCCCAAATTGATTTACAGATTCAGTGCAATTTATAATCAAAATCCTAATAGGAAACTGATAAGTTAATTCTAAAATTCACGTGGAAATGCAAAAGATCTAGAATATGATTTTGAATATGGAAAACAAAGTTGGAAGATTTACTCTAAATGATCTCAAGATTTATTACAAAGCTACAGTAACCAAGACAGAATGGTAATGGTGTAAAGACAGACAAACAGATCAATGGAAGAGAACAGAGAATCCAGAAACAAACCCTCACATACATAGTGAATTTAGAAAATATCTAAATATCCTCAGTGGCCGGGTGTGGTGGCTCACACCTGTAATCCTATCACTCTGGGAGGCTGAGGCAGATGGACTGCTTGAGCTCCAGAGTTCAAGACCAGCCTGAGCAAGCAAGACCCTACCTCTACTAAAAATAGAAAAACTGGCTCGGCGCCTATAGCTCAACCGGCTA